TCCCCCTCCTTCCCATTGTGTGTGAGATGCTCTCAGAAGGAGCCGCCAGCGTGACCGTGACCGTGTGTGGAGGGAAAGAGAACAAAGGGGCGGGGGACCGCTAGGGTATGCATTGTGGAGGCAGAGAAAGGGAAGGGTGGGGGAACCGCGAACCGCGGGTACACAACTGGAAGAGGGGTCTCACCCAGAACCTCTGTGGGGATAACTCTCCACCCCTGGGTGGAGTCTGAAGTCCCTACCTTGGTAGGACACAGGGAGGGAGATTAAAGAACCAGCAGTAACAGGGTGGCTTCATGGAGGGAGGACCAGTCCCCCTCCCTTGAACCCAGACAACTGCCCTGTGGCACCCCCAGAATGCCCCACCCAGTCCTGCTGCTGCTCTTGTCCACTGTCTCCCGGGTCCTTTCTCCATGACGCAGCTACAGAATTCTGTCCTCAGCTACGTGACTGAATCATGTCCCTGTCCACATAACTAGCACCCTCCTCCTTGAACCTAAAGACCTATTCTCCCCCTCCAAGTCCTGAGTGGCCTGGCTCCCATTCCCTTTTGACCCAAGACTAGGGCTATTTCCCTTGATCACCTACCTCACTCTGGCCATACTCAGCCTCTGTCTTAATGTGTCCAGCCTCAGGGCCTTTGCATCTGCTGTTCCTCCTCCCAGGATCACCCTTCCTTCACCCACTGCTGTCTTTCAGAGCCTGGTCTGAGGTCACCTCCTGCTCTAGTCACACCCCTCTAGTTTACCATCTTCAATTCCTGGTGTGCTCTGTTACTTCCTCACCTTCTGCCTCCCCCAGGGAATGTACCCCCCACCCGGGCGCAACTCAGGCCTGGCTGATGAGAGGAGGGGCCAACTCTTACCCAGCTCCAAACAGACAGATGGCACCACTGCCCCGCTAACCACCCTGGAAAGCACCCCCTAGGACAAGGCACAAAAGATCCAGCCCCTGCTTCTGCAGGGGCGTCACCTTCCAGTGAAACTGAAAACACAGACACCCAGATGTTGCTTCCCCCCCACCCCCGGGGGATGGCTTAGCCTGTTTCCAGAGTAACATGCCATGAGAAAAATGGCCCGCAGGGACCGAGTTCTGGGCCTGTTGAGCAGAAGCCAGTACGGAGGAGTGTCTGTTCAAATGGCAAATAGATGGCAAATCCGTATGAAGAACAAAGATGAGAACTGCCGGGAGGGGGAGACACTGGGGGCAGCCCTGGGCATGGGCTCTGGGGAGGGGAGTGACCTTTCCTTTGTTATATTAGCTTTTCCATCATGTTTTCTTATACTTTTTGAAATGAAAGGGGAGGATAAAAGGAAAATCGCTTTGTTGGAGGGTAGAAAGCTCCGAGAGGGTATATGCCCCCATGCGACAGAAAACACAGCTGTGTTGAGAAATCAAATACCCACCCCCCAATACTTGCCTCCATAAATTTACCCTGAAATGTTTGAGCACCTACTATAAATTTAAATGCCCAGCGGTGGAGAGTGAGTTAGGAGGGGGTGGGGATTCCTGGCTCCTGAGAGTAAAGCCACGGGGTTCTGGGAAAAGGTGAGGCTGGGATGAGCAAGAACCTGTGGCCTCAGCAGGGCCAGGCCCACAGCCAAGGGTTTAAGGGACTTGTGGGGGGTGAGTGCCTTTTCTTTGCACATTTCACTGCCAGGCCAGGACCTGACCTCAGGCTGGTGTTCAACGCCAGAAGGGTAGGAGATGGCAGGGAAAGTGGGGGGACTCAGCATGCAGAGATATGGGGAGCCAGGGAGGGAAGAGACAAAGGCATCCAAGAGCTTTCAGAAAGCCTCAAAGGACAGGCAGGGGAGTGGGGTAGAAAGGGGGTGCCCAATCAATATTAGGTCTGCCAAATAAAATACAGGGCACGGAATGGGACATACTTATAAAGATAAAAATTTTTCTTTTTTAAAAAAAAAAAATTCGTTGTTTACCTGAAAGTCAAGTTTAACTGGGAAACCTGTAGTTTTCTTTTCTAAATCTGGAAACCCTAGGCCCAGATCTTCTGCCCAAGCGAAACTGGGGTCCGCTAGGGGGGAGAGGAGGAGGAGCCCTATTGGCGTCCGTCCTCTCCCCTCCCATCTCCTCCAGACCCCCCACGTGTTCCCTTCTTAGGCTTTTCTTTGTCCCCCTCACGTTGTCCACGTCCCTTAACTGCTGAAGTTTCCCCCCTCCCCTCCTCTCTTCCTTTGTTGTCCCCCTCCTCCCACACACTCCCACATTACCCCATCCGCCCACTCCTCCTCCTCAGACACTCCTCTCCCCATCTTCCACAGCCCTTCGCCTTTTCCCCACCTTCTCTGGTACCCACCCCTCCTCCCCGTCCCTTCACCATCCTCCCCTCCTCCAAAGCCCCTCTCTCCGCAGTAACCTCCTCCCCAGACACCCACCCTCTCCTCTGCGAACCGCCTCCCCTCCCCACCGCAGGTCCCCGGGGCGCACGAGGGGGAACCCCGGCCACTGGCACCGAGCTCCACGCAGGCGCAGAGTCGCCCGGCTTCCCTGAGGCCGCCGCCCCCCTCGCTGCGGCCCGCGCGCCCCGTTGCCAAGGCGACGGCGAGGGCCGGAGCGGGAACCTCCGGAAGACCCTGCTCGCTCTCCCTCCCGCGCCACCTCCTCAGCAAACCCCACTCTGGTTTGAGCCGGTTTCCCCACCCCGCCCCCAGTGCGCACTGCGGCGTGTGAGGATTCCCTTGCCCACAGGGCGGGGGTCGGGCAGCGATCGACGCATGCGCCCCCGGCGAGGCTTTCCCTCCCCGCCACGCGCTCGACGGGAAAGCCCTAGCGCGTGAAGCGAGCACCCCCGCGCAGGCGCAGTGTGCGCCCGGCGTCCCCATGGCCCCGCCTGGTCGTGCGGGCAATGCGCGCGGGGAGGGCTTGGAGAGCACGGAACTCCCGTCTCACGCCCCCTCCCGCGCACTGCAGCGGAGCCGGGGATTCCCTGCTGCCCGCGCGCAAGCGCGGGCCTGGGATTCCGCGGGGGCGGGGCCGGAGAAAGAAGGGGCTTTTCCGTGAAAGGGAACAAAGGTTCTCACCGTAGTGCTTTTGTCAGAGGACCTAAGGCGGTCCTCTCAGCTCCTGTCCTGAGTTTTACCTCCTCTCTGGTCCACTGGCCGTCCCTCTGCAGTTCCCCAGGTGAGCTTGCCACACGCAGCTCTGATACCCTTCCTACATTGCTCACACACGCGCCGTGGCTCCCCATCGCCCTGAGGTGAATTCCCATCCCTCAGCCTGGCAGGCCGGGCCAAGGCCCTGCACGCTCAGCTGACACCTTCCTTCCGGTTAATCACTGTTACTCGCGAGTCCTCCCTAATTCCCCGCCACAAAGACCTCAACGTGGCCATGCAGGAGGCTCCTTTGCCAAGCCTTCCTTCAGGAAATGGCTTTCCCAGGCACCGTCTCATTGATTCTCCAGATAGCCTAGGGTTAGATACTGTTTTAGTTCCATTTTATATAAGAGGAAACTGAGACTTAGACCCATTAAGGCCCTGGCCTAAGACCCCAAAAGTAGAAGGAAGAAGCCTCTATTTGTGGGGAAACTTCTGGGCTCAACCCCCAATCCAGATTCCCCTGCCGCCCCTGATGGCTCTCTCGCAGCCCTGGGTGCTTTCTTGGGTATGTGACACAGGCAGGTGATTTAGTTTTCCCATCTGTAATGGGGATAAATCGCTCATGGGGCTGTCCCCAGGGTTCAGTGAAACATTACCATGTACTAAACCAGGGCTCAGCATCCAGGGGATGGTTCCCACAGCTGGTCTAATCCCTGTTAAGTGGTCACCTTCCCCCTCTTGAACCCCCTCCCACCATGTTTCTTGGTGGCCTTCTGCCTCACTTCCCTAATCCCCACAGGGTCTTCTGGGTTACTTCCTGGATTCCTCACATGCCATCTGGTCATTCTTAGAGTTGGCTCCAGGATTTCCACACTAAGCCAGTGCTCCATATATGTTGGTTAGTTTTATGCCAGCTACCATCGTTTCAGGCACCTTCCATTCTGCATTTTAGCTGAACCCAATTATTAATGGCACCCCTCCCTTGAATAGGAGAGTTGTGACATCCAGGCCTTTGTACGGGTGGTTCCTTCAGCCCTTCTGTCCCTGTATGTGTAGAGAATTCCTGCGCATCCTTCAGGGCCCTCCCCCATGAAACTGTCATGGCCCCCTCTGGCCCAGCCCTGACACCACACAACTCGGGGGGAATGGGGACCAGAGGCCACATGGAAAGCCCTGTGGGTGCAGGGAGCGTATTGCTTGGGTGGAAGCCATAGCAGTGACCTGGTAAATACTTAGATCCTCCCTAACATGTGTGGGCCCATCTGGCTGCTGCCCTCCCTTTCTTCAAACTGTCCAAGGCCAACTGAGTTCTAGGAACCCAGAACCAGGTGCAGATCTCACCCAGCCCTTCCCAAAGCATGTGGCCTCTGATGGGACACTTATTCCTACCCAGATCCACCTGCATGCTCCAGCTTCCGGGCTTTTGCCTGCCTATACGATGGAATCTGACTCATCTCCCACTCAGGCCTGCTCTGGAGATATCCTCCACTGGGAAGCCTGCCCAGGACTTGACCCAGATGCCTCCCACATCGGACTAACACCACAGCAGCCAGCATTTCCTGACCCCCAAGCACAGTATGTGTGTGACCTGGACTGCTGACTTTGAACCAGAATCTCAGGATGCTAACTATATCATCTCTAGGATGCCTCTGGTCCTGTCCTGAAGTGCTCTGTGACCCAGAGCCAGCGTCTCAACCTCTCTGAGCAGTCCTCCTGCAGCAGCCCAGCCATGGCTTCCGGGGGTGGTGGTACAGGTCCCTCCATGGACAAGTGGCCCAGTCAGGTGGGAATGCATAAGAGCCAGGCCCAGGTGACAGTGGGCTTGCTGCGACAGGAGGGCATTTGGGGGCCCTGATCTTCTCTGGCTGTGACCCCTGCACTCCCTGGCATTCCAGCCCTCCTCTCCCCACCACCAACCTGCCGTCCACAGAGACTCCTAGAGCGCACTCTGCCTCACCGACTGCCTTTATTGGGCATCATTCCCAGGGCTCTGCGGGCGCAGGAAGGGGGTGGCGGGCATCACTCGAAGCGGGGACTCTCCAGCGGGAGGCATGACCTATGATGCCACGTAGCCCCCAGGACACTCGCCTCAGCCCCGGACCTCTCTGTAACCCACGCAGCTGACCCAGCAGGAGGGCGTGTGATATCACGACCCTGACCGCCTGTGGGGCGGGTCCCCCAGTTCTGGGCTCACTTGGGGGCATTGAAGGTTACGGCCCGCTGGTTCATGGGGTTGTCTGGCGACCGCAGCCACTCCTTCTTGAGCAGCTGCTTCAGCTGCGACAGCCGCATGTTGGGGTTTTCTTGTTTGAGCCGCGGCAGCTGTGCCTCCTCGAAGGCAGTGAAGGCCGCCCGCATGCGGCGCTCTGGGTGCCGGTCCGCAGCCTCTTCTGCCACGCTAGGAGTGGACAAGGGCGTTAAGGGACGGGCCTATGGGGGCGGCCCCGCCCCGACGCGTAGCCCCGCCCTGTGCCCAAGCCCCGCCCATTACCTGAGTACGGCAATGGCATCCTCAATGGTGCGTGCTTCCACGCTGCCCTCCTCCAGCACGCGGCGGTTCACATTCTCCTCCAGCGGCACCTCCAAGTGGCTCTTGGCTTTCTCGACTGAGGGTGGGAGGCAGCCAAGTGACAGAGACATACACAGAGACAGAGAGAGATAAGCAGGGATGCAAGATTCCAGAGAGATGACAGAAACACAGTGGGGGAAGAGAGGGGAGAGGAGAGGAGGCTGGCGGGCACAGAAGGATGGAGGAGCCCTCTGGCCCTCCCTGCCCCCTGCCCAGGGCACGCTGTCCTCTTACCTAGCCTGAAGCTGGGCACACAAGAGGTGCCCGACTCACGGCTGGTGTTTCCTCAGCCTCAAGGCACCTCATTAATGCCCTGAGGACCCCCTGGGGCACAAGCCAGCTCAGGTGCAAAGCAAGCAAATGCAGCCTGTGCGTGCCCATGCTCCCCGTGCTCAAAGCCAGACCCGCCAGGCCGCTGCCCACCCATGCTTCACTACAGCCCAGGCAGCTTCTCTGGGGCTGAGGAAGGGGCGCTAGACTCAGCCAGGGGCAGCCCCGCAGCCTGTCCTTTACTGGGTAAAAAGGCAGCTCCAGAGCCCACCTGGGTCCGGGGCTTCTTTGTGCTGGTGGTCTCGGCGGAGTGTCTCCTCGATCTGGGCCCGGGTGACCTTGCTGGGCGCAGACGCACGGGGGGCCTTGCCGCCCTTGAGCTTAGAGTCCTCCTCCTCCAGCAGGCGCTGTGTCTCCTTCTTGCGCTCAAGCTGCTCCAGGCGACGCTTCTCCTTCTCCTCCTGGGGGGGGGGGGGTATCAGGAGTCGACCCCCCCACTGGCACAGGTGGACCGAGGCCCTGCTATGTGCTAGACACTGTGTGCTATGCACGGGGGACACAGCTGGGGCCCCACGGGACTACCTGAGGGCTCCCAGCCTACGTGACTCTGGGAACAACAGGGAACCCTGGCCACGGCAGGTGGGTGGGTGGTTCTTGAAGGAAAAGTGACACCTGGGCCGGAGGAGGAGCCAGCAAGGAGCTAACTGGAGGACAGGAGCGTCCTTGGCTGTGGGAATGCAGGTGCAAAGGCCATGAAGCAGGAACCTCCTAGAGGGTGTTGTGGCTGGAGCAGGGAGGGGAAATGTGGGAGGAGGAGAGGTGGGGAGGCGACAGGAGCCAGGGAGGGTCTGAACACACTTGTTGGCTGGAGCAGGGGGTTCTGCCCTTAGGACAGTGTCCCCAGCCCAGTGTCACAAGGGACTGGTTCCACCTTTGCTCCCCAGGGAGACCTTGATGCCATCTGGCCTACAGGACTTGCCCTTGGCTGCTGCCCCTCAACTACTCTAGGGGCAGAGCCATGTTCTGGTTCATTTATAATGCAGGGCAGCCATAGGCTTGGAACATTCTGCCACCTCCCACTTGCACCCCCACAGGGCCCTGCAGCCTACATACCCACTTGCCTATCCTCTGCCTGCAACTCTGCCACCTGATTTCCATGCCTTGAGGATGGTCCCCACTCCTTCAGCGCCCTCTGTGACACTCCTATAGTCGGACTAAGTGTCCCAGAAGATGACTCCATATGCCTGAGGATACCCCCTGGGCCTCTGACCTCTACCCTGCCTATCCAGTAGGAAAGTGGGGGAGAGGTTAAAGGTTAGGTGCTCCCTTGGGGCTGCCTGGGTGGTTCGGTCGATTAAGCATCTGCCTTTGGTTCTGGTCATGATCCCAGGATCCTAGGTTCAAGCCCCACATCAGGCTCCCTGCTCAGCAGGGAGCCTGCTTCTCCCTCTGCTGCTGCTCCCCTGCTTCTGCTCTCTGTCAAATAAAGAAATAATCTTTAAAAAAAAGGTGGGAGGCTCTCACACCTGTGTCCAGCCCTCTCAGGCCAGGCCAGTGTGCTTTGATCCTCAGTTTAACCATCAATCAGAGATAATGTCCTCCCAAGGCCCCTGACCCCAGCATGGTGCTCATACAGCCCGTGTTCATTCAGTCCTGCCTTGACCTTGGCACTGGCTGCTCTGCCTCCCAGCGCACCATTGTAGCCTCCTTCCCTGCTTCCTCTGGCTCCTCCTGAGTTCCTGGCTCTCTATTGGGCCCTTCCACCCCATGGCTTTTTCCTGTGTCCCACAAATTCCTGTTTCTCATCTTCTATGTGGTTTGTCCTGGAGGCAGTCCCTGGTCCGGGTTTTGAACAGCTGCCTTCTGACAGGCGCAGAACCCAGTAGGTGCTTAGTAAAAGTACGCTGAATGAATGCATGAATTCCCAAAAGGCTCCAATAACTCAGGAAAGACATGTGGCTTGTCGCCATCAGTCTCTAGGGACATGGGACTGAGGAGGGAATCAGAGCATTTGTACTCTGACATTCAGCAAAATTTTTTTAAAAAGTCACTTGCTGTTTTTAAAAAAGAGCAATTAGCAGTTGGCAGTATCTGGTGATGGGAGATGTAAGTCTGCTTCACAAAATATTCCAGAGCCGTAAGGAACAAGTATATGAATAATTGACATGAAGCCCAGAGAGTCAGGTGCTCATCGCCCAGTTGCTTAATATGGAACAAGTGGAGACAAAACGCTGACTTCCAGGAGGTGCGATGAATTACAGCCCCGTCCATGGCTGATGGCTGAGGACCAGGAGAAACATGGCTGTGGGACCCTATTTAGCTCAGGACATGGGCTTCAGGGTAGGATATCCAATGAAAAAGGTCTTTGGTGTCATGTGAGGGGAGGAGGTGTGTTACTTTTTAGTGCTTTAAGTGAGCATGGATTTGCTTTTCTCTTTTAAAGATTTTATTTTTTCCTTTTTGTTTGCTGCTGTTGTTTAAGTTACGTTCAATGTGGGGCTTGAACTCGGGATCCTGAGATCAAGACCTGAACTGAGATCAAGAATCAGAGGCTTTAGGGGCACCTGGGTGGCTCAGTCAGTTGAGCGTCTGCCTTCAGCTCAGGTCATGATCCCAGGATCCTGGGATCGAGCCCCGCATCAGGCTCCCTGCTCAGTGGAGATCCTGCTTCTCCCTCTCCTGCTCCCCCTGCTTGTGCTCTCTCTCTCTGTCAAATAAATAAATTTTACTTGTTTTATATAAATTTTATTTATTTATCAGTTTGAGAGAGAGAGATCATGGGTGCTCGAGCAGGGGGAGGGGCAGAGGGAGAAACAGACTCCCCGCTGCGCAGTGAGCCTGACCTCTCCGGCTTTTCGCTCTGCGTCATGGCTCTTTGGCAGACAATGCTTTTTGTCTTTTGGGTCCTCGACTTTCCTATATTGTCAAAATACTGATAGTAAAAAAGAAAATTTAAAGACCTCCATGGACCCAATGCAGCACAGGGCCTGAGGAGGGAACCAGTGACCAATGTCCAACTAAAAACAAGGCAGGATCCAGTCTCGCACAGGAAGGTGATAGGGAAAATTCACAAAAGTGCCCAGGTGCACCAGGAATTGGGCAAGCAGGGATGGCATGTCACCCCCGCTATTTTCTACCACTGTTAACAATCTGGACAAGAAGCTCTGACCAGCTCAGGGGAACAGGCAGCACAGCTATAAATGGGTCTCTGGCGCCACCTACTGGACCCAGCAAATCAGTACCAGCCCTGATCCACAACCCAGACACCAATTAGGTACCCATCAGAGGGCAGACAGCCACGCCTGCACTCTTCTGTGTTTTTACACACACCTGGAAGAGCTGGCGAGCCCTGGGGCCAGTAGGGTGGATCCAGGGGACCTATTACAGCAGTTCTTGGCACAGCTGACGTGGGGCTGGCTCATCATTTACTATGGGGCTGTCCAGTATCATGAAGTGTGCTGGGCAGCATGCGTGGCCCCCACCCACCAGATGCCAGTAGCACCTTCCACCCACTGGTTGTGACAATCCAAAATGTCTCCAGATGTGCCAAGTGTCCTCTGAGTGCAGAATCACTCCACAGTGAGAAGTGTCAATCTAGCCCAACCCTGACATTACATGAAGGACAAAGTAAGCCCACACGGGGCGGTGGATGCCTTCCCATTCCCTAAACATGCCAAGTTCTAGCCACCCCAGGGCCTTTGCACGAGCCTCTGCCTCCACCTCCCACCTTGCCCTTGCTCCATGTCCAGTGTCTCCTCACCCTTCAAGCCAAAGCCCCAGGGGCCTCCGGCTACCTTCTACCGCGTTTCCAGGTTGACTGCCCACTTTAGCCTCAGGGCAGGAGCCTGGGAGTGACCCACCTTGCGCTGTTCCTTCCTCATGACGTGTTTGTCCTCATCCTTCCAGTAGGCATCCTCCAGCTCCTTCTGTTTCCTGGCATCAGCTGCTGCCTTGGCCTCAGCCCTCCGTGCCCGGGCCGCTGCCGACTTGGTGTTCTCACCCTGGAACTTCTTGGGCATCCCTCAGCAGGCTGCAGGAGGAGGGCAGGGAACAGTGAGTAGGGGGCATCCACCTTTGGTACCCCCAGACTAACACCTGCAGTCAGGATCCCCTTGGAGCCTTGATGGCCTTGTCTGTAGAACGAGGGCTTCAGATTTCGTGATCTCCTTTTTAAAAAAAAATGTATCAAGGGGCGCCTGGGTGGCTCAGTCGGTTAAGTGACAGCCGTCAGCACAGATCATGATCCCGGAGTCCGGGGACAGAGTCCCATATCCGGCTCCCCGCTCTGCAGGGAGTCAGCTTCTCCCTCTACCCCTCCCCCACTTGTTCTCGCAATCTCTCTCAAATAAATTAAAATCTTTAAAAAATTTATTGAGGTAAAATGCACACAACAAAACCATGAACCCTTTTAAAGTGCACAATTTGGTGGCATTTAGAACATTCACAATGTGCAACCATCACCTCTATCTAGTTCCAGAATATTCCTATCCCCCCAAAAAGGAAACCCCACGCCCACAAGCAGTCACTCTCCCTTCCCCTCGCTTTCTGTCTCTAAGAATTTGCCTCTTTGGGACATTTCATATACATGGAATCATACACTCTTTCACTCAGTGTGATGTTTGCAAGGTTCATCTGTTTTTTAGCACGGGAGAGCTTCATTCCTTTTGATGGCTGAGTAATATTCCACGTATAAACAGACATTTTGTTTATCCATCCAGCACTGATGGGCACCTGGGTTGTTTCCATTTTTTGGCTTTTAGAGTCATGATTCTGGGGCCCCCTGGGGGCCAGTCTGTGTGTGGCCCCTCCGATGTTACCACTTATGAGGCCTCAGTCCCCAGAGCCCTGAGGCCAAGTCCTCCTCACCCGAGTAAGCAGTTGCTGTGAGCAGCTCCCAATGACCCAGCCTAGGCTTGCACAGCTGGCAACATGTGATGACTGGAAAGCTGCTGTCCAGCAGGCCCCTGGTCTGTGTGAGTCCCACGCTGGGTGCTGGGGAAGTGATGCACACAAATGGCAGACACCAACCCTTCGGAAGGACCAACTCCACAGAATGCCTCCAAAGCCTTAAATGTGGGAACTGCCCTTTTTCCCATTCAGAGGTGGGGGAGTCAAGGTACCTGGCCAGGTTGCCTAGCACTGAGTCTAGGGTCTCACCTCCAAAACCTGACTTCCAGGTGAGGAAGGGAAGGCTGTGCGGCCCAGGTACGTGCTTTCAGCTCTCTGGGCCTCAATTTTCCTCATCTGGGAAATGGGCTGATGTCCCTGGTTGTTTGTTCCCCCTGAACATCTCCAGCTCCATCCCCTTAGGGAAACAGGCTCAGCATCCAAGAATGAAGGAGAAAGAACGGGGGGCCTCTCTGACTCAGGACCACCAGGCCACCCCATTCTAGTCTCCTAGCTGTGTGACTTGTGGGGCAGAGGGCTCCCACCTCACAGCCCCACTAGAAACTCTTAACATCAGCTCCCATTTGCACCGTTGTGCACACTGGGCTCAGGGCTTTCTACACAGTGTCTGAGTGAATTCTCCCAATGCTGGTGTGTGGCAGCAGGGCTGAGACCTAAAGGAGGCAGCCCTGTGAGGATGAAGAGATGGGACGTCTGGGCAGAGGGCACAGGATATGCAAAGACCTTGTGGCAGACCCTCAGTCCCAACTCTGTGATCCTAACCACCCCCCATCCCAGGATCCCAGCTTCTGAGACCACTGGGGCCCCCCACTTCACATCAAGGGGTGACCCCTTGGCCAGGTGGCCCATGCGGAGACTGAGGAGAGAGCCCCATGGGGCAGAGCAGGGCAAAGTCGGGGACCTCAGAGGACCCAGAGGACTCAGGGTTGAATCCTGGCTCTGCAATCACAGCCGAAGTGCTCCCTGAGCTGAGACATGAGGTGGATTCCAGTCCCTCCCCAGACAGGATGCATGAGCTGCCACGGGGGTCCACTAGCCTGATCTCGCACTTCCCCCAGGTACTCCTTGGCCCCTAAATCAAGCTTTTATTACTGAATGTCTACAGTATAGCTGACAGAACACTCCCACCCTGGATTCCCCAGGGGAGTGCCAAGAACTGGGAGTCACTGTCTAAGTTACAGATTATGGAAACTCCCCACCCTACTCTCCCCCCACCTTCCACTCACTCTGAGTGGCAGCCACACCAGCCTCCCTGCCATTTTTCAAACATCCCAAGCAGGTTCTCGCTTCAGGGCCTTTGCACTTCCTCTGCCTGCCACCTGGCTGCTCCTCACTCCTCTTTTTACCCAGGTTTTAACTCCTATTTAAATTTCAGGGCCTAGCTCAGGTGTTGCTGCCTCCAGGAAGCCCTCCCTGAGACACCCTCTCTTAGACCACAAACTTCTCTCTGAGGCACTTGTTTGGCTTGCTGTTTTATGTTCATTTATGTGATTATTTGATAAATGGCCATCTTTCTCAGCAGGCTGGGAGCTCTGTGAGGGCAAGGACTACCGTGGTCACTACTGCGTCCCCAGTGCCCTATACAGCAGGAGCTCAATGAATGTTCTGAGCAAATGAACGAATAAGCGTCTACTTCCAGAGCTCCCTCAGTATTTACTTCACACCTGGGTTGTGTCCAAGCTCAGCTCCTCCCTGTTCTTCCCACTCACCTCCCTCTCCAGCCTCTGAGCCTTTGCTCCTGTTGTTCCCTCGCCTGATACACCCTGCCCCATTCCCTCCTCCTATGAAAATCCCGCTCACTCACAGGGATTCGGCCCCAGCGTCCTCTCCTCTCACGGCCCACTGCTTAAGAACCTCAACTTCATCCCAAAGCCTGACAGGACAATTTTGATCCTCTCTTCAGACTGGGACGAGATGTTGGTGTTCCCTCAATATTAATATGTTGAAGCCCTAACCCTCAGTGCAACTGTCTTTGGAGACAGGGCCAATGAGGAGGTGACAGAGATGAAGTGAAGTCATAAGGGCGGGGCCCTAATGGAATGGGGCTGGTGTTCCTCTAAGAGCAAAAGACACCAGAGCTTGCTCTCTTCCAAGTCAGGAAGACTGCCTGCACCAGGAACCAAACTGGCCGGCACTCTGATTCCTAGCCTCCAGAACCGTGAGCAAATAAATTTCTGTTGTTTAAGTCACCCACTCTGTGGTATTTTTTTTTTTTTTTTAATAGCAGCCTGAGCTGACTAATACAGACAGGCTTTCTCCTCTGTGTGGTGGTAAATACTTGCTCACACACACTTTTGTCAGTCAGTAAACATGCACTGAGCACCTAGTATGTGTGGGACGCTGGGGGAAAGAGGCAGGACCGACGTGACTGCCAGGCTGGCTGGGAGATAGACGATAAGGGTGACAATTTGCCAACAGAACCGTGATGGGGACTTGCAGAGCGCTGGGGAAGCCCAGAGGGGGTTTCTGACCCAGCCTGGGGGCTAAGGGGGTGTCAAAGGGCTTCCTGAAGGAGGTATCTAAGAAAAGACCTGAAAGTGTGAGGAGCTCGGAGCCCCCAGAAGTGTGGGGGAGGCAGGCTGGGAGGAGAGGATCTGTATTCCACGGTGATGAGAAGATACGGAAGGCGTTTGAACCCTGAAGCGCAGATCCGCGCTAAGAGCCCTCGGGTTGGTTGAGGAGGTGAACTGGAGGAGTGAGATATGTAGGGAGCTTTGGCAGGAATCCGGGGAGTGCCTCTGGATGGTGGTGGGGGGGTGCATTTAGGAGGGAATCAAGACCCAAGTTGATTGGATGTCAAAGTAAAAGAGAGAACAGAAGATGGAAGTTCAACAGTCTCTTCCCAGAAGCCCTTCTGCTACCCCTTCTGAGCTCTCCCTGCCCGTCGTCCCTATCCCCGGCCCTGACCCCACTGCAAGAGGCTGGGGCGTCCGTACCCAGCTCTGTTACCCCCAAGCCTGGAAAGTGCTCAGAGGCAGGACCGGAGCTGGCTGGCCGCGAACAGGACGCAATTCCTCCGGGTCTCAGTCGCCCGCTCTGGAAAATGGGTACAGCCACCCGCGAGAGCCCTCTAGACTGGGCACCGAAAGTGCCCCGGTCTGTGAGCACCCCGCCTCCAGCCCTCCGGGGTGGGGGGTGCTCTCAGGCCTAGCCGCCCCGCCGCCGCCCGCCCCGCGCCGCGTTGCACCCCGCCCCCCCGGACCCCGGCTCCGCCCGCGCCGCGGCCGCTCCTACCTCCTTCCCCCAGCGCCGGCCCGGTCGCGAATCCGTGACGCCACCGCGGGGCTTGCGCGCCGAACTCCCGGAGGCGCGCTCTGATTACGTCCCGGCGCCTGTCGCCCTCTTGGTAAGGGAAATCCTGCTCTGGCCTCCAACCCAAGCCGAGGTTATCAGCCATTCCTTTTCCTCTTAGAGAACAGGATATTTTATAAGCCCCTCCCTTTCTCTCGCTTCAGATGTTGGCGAACTATGAGGAGAGGGTAAAAACTTCAGTCGAGAATATCTCCCTTACCAAGATGGCCATTGCCCGGATGAAATATGGCCGCTTCCACTTCACACGTGGTCTGGCAGAGTCAGGCAGGAGCTGCCCGGCCACCAGGGTGCGCCAGAGCCCGCGGTCCACACGTGGTCCCTAGACCCGCCAAGCTCAGAGGAATCCTCCTCAGTCTTTACTGTCGCTTTGCGCTTTGAAGGCGCTCTTCTAGTCCCCTCTCTGCTTCTCACCTGCGAAGCTGGGGAGGGCGGGGACAGGACAAAAGGGCAGAGAAATTAACACACTCCACCCCGTTCAGGTGGGGAAACGGGCAAAGGGAGACCGGCAACTGAGTTTAGCGAAAATGTAACCAACCGCAAGCAGCTCAGATTCCTAGCCAGTCCCTCCTGAGTTGCTGCACTCACCCACTCCCTCAAAACACATCTTGCTTATTTTACCCGACAATTAGCTTGGGGTTTTGGGGGTGGGGGGCAAATTGTCGGAGGCATCTATTCTTCAGTTTCTAAGTTTACTGAGTAGGCTTAGTGTCCTCATCTGTAAAAATGTTAGTACAGATGTAGGAAACAGAGGCAGAAGAAAAATTATTAAATTTCTTTACCCACTGACAAGCCCTTAAAACACTCAAGAGTTACTCTCCTCTAGGGACTCAACTACCCCCAACCAGGATCCTGTAAGTCTACTCTAATGATTCCTTTGGAAACTTTATCTCTAAACCTCCAAGATAATGTTGACAATCATTCCCAAGCATATGGCCCACTGATAGATATCTAAAGGGCTCATGAAAAGGTTTTATTACTGGTAATGAATAACCTTTTCCCCCAGACAGTAGCTAGCCCCTCAAGGTCCTAGAAACCTTGCTTCCAAAATTTTTAGAGACTTACATCATCCCTAATCCCCTCCCCAATTTACAAGTATATAATAGACCACTCCTCACATCCCTGGGGCAGCAGCTCTTCCTGCCCATGGGTCCTGTCCCCATGCTTTAATAAACCACCATTTTGCACCAAAGATGTCTCAAGAATTCTTTCTTGGTCATTGGCTCCAGACCTCACCCCACTGAACCTCACCTATGTTCTAGAACTTCACCATTTGGCGCCCAAACGTGGGGCTGTGAGTCTTTACATTTGGTCTCTGAGCTTCGGTGCAAAATTGGTGAGTACTTCTCTCTACTTCCTTTAGTCTCATTTCAGGGGCTTTTCAAGGAGTATGATCTTACTGGAACACTTGCATGTCGATTGCTCAGGCTGTAATCCTCTAGCCCGTGGCTACTCTATGGGGAGGAGAACGTCTGCCTTTTGGCTGGAAGTCAGTACCCTGGCCGGAATGGTAATAAGACCCAGAAACTTGATGCCCTCTCTGTATTCCTGTTCTTATATAAAGTTGTCTGTCTTGGGCACAGGACAGCCACCTGAGTCACGAGGATGGTTGCCAATCTTAAGACTTCTGTGTGAGTTTTCCTCCTGACTGGTCTAATGTGATCCCCTCCACATCCCTGGTCTAGCCACTTCTGGCCACGGGATCTCCATTGGGAGCCGGCCAAAACCAGTACCAGATTGAATTAAAATGCAACCAGGAACCGTTTCCTAGGGAAGTTGGCTGTAAGGACCACATGTGTTGGAATGTCGCATAGACCATGATGGATTTCAGTCTTTACTGTTTCTTGTCAGTGTCTTCTATAAAATACTTAAAGCTATGAAATTGGGTAATTTCCCCTTGCCAAAGTTTTCTAGTATTTCCATGGGTTAAAATGGCAAAACAGTATGCAATCTTTAGGACAGACAATGGCATGGCATGGCACAGTGTTTTGGCCCATTCACCAGGCACCCATCAGCAGCCTAGGATGCGATGGGGAAGAGGAGGGACGCCGGCACCCCTCCAGGGCCTTTTACGGCAGGAACGCCTTCTGCAGAAGGCAGGATCGTGATCAATGGCAATGTCTTGAGGGACGCCTCTGGTCGCTTTTGACACACGGGAACCTCTGACATATCCTGCATGGGACACCACCCAGGCATCAGGGGGGATTTGGTAATGGACCTTCTTTACTTTTCTGGGAGCATGGCCTCAGTAGGCTTCTTCAGTTCCCAAGGACTCTACCTTGGGGTGCCTTTTTTTTTTTTTTTTAAGATTTTATTTATTTATTTGACAGAGATCACAAGTAGGCAGAGAGGCAGACAGAGAGGGGTGGGGAGCAGGCTCCCTGCTGAGCAGAGAGCCCGATGCGGGCCTCGATCCCAGGACCCTGGGATCATGACCTGAGCCGAAGGCAGAGGCTTTAACCCACTGAGCCACCCAGGCGCCCCTGTCTCAAAGTTTTAATGGGTAATTGCTGAGATGGCTTTCAAAGTCTTTGGTAACATGAAAGTTTAAAGTTTGGTTGGATAACAAATAAAATTAAATTTGTTGGACATCTAGGTCTTTTCCAAATAGGATAAAGTGCTAAAGCATTGAGTACTAGATGTAGGTTTGTGCTGTTGACTTCTTACTGCAAAGAAACTAAGAATATTTAAATCTGTTGGTAAACATGTGTTTCTAAGAGCACAAAATTCTGCTAAGTGTAACTAAGACTGATGGAAATAAGGGAAACAACTCTGTATGTGGAAAAGTAGAAGATATGTAAGAAACATTTAAGGAATGGAAATGCATCTTGTTGAAGGTTAAAAAAAAAAAAAAGGTAATTTTGTCCTAAATAAGATGGTTGTTTGGAAGGAAATGTCTTGGGACAAAACCTGAATGCAAAGGAAAGTTGTAGAAGGTTTGTGAAGGGAAATCTTCAGAAAAGGAATTTTAGGTATGGTCAGGATGGACTAAGATTAAAGTGAATTTTTAAAAAGACACTGGTATAGAAAGTCTGCTTTCTCTCTGTTCAAAAAGGACAAAGTTTTCTTAGATTAATTGATCTGCTGTTGAGAATAAAATGTAAATGGTTTTCTCTTTGCCTGCCCAGAAAAAACAGTTTCTATGTTTTGTTTTATCAGATTTTTTTTAAGATTTTATTTACCCATTTGACAGAGATCACAAGTAGGCAGAGAGGCAGGCAGAGAGAGAGGAGGAAGCAGGCTCCCCTCAGAGCAAAGAGCCCGAGGTGGGGCTCGATCCCAGGACCCTGGAATCATGACCTGAGCTGAAGGCAGAGGATTTAACCCACTGAGCCACCCAGGCACCCCTCAGGTCTTTTTTTTTTTTAAGATTTTATTCATTTATTTGACACAGAGAGAGAGATCACAAGTTGGCAGAGAGGCAGGCAGAGAGAGAGGGGGAAGCAGGCTCCCCACTGAGCAGAGAGCCCTATGCAGGGCTCGATCCCAAGGTCCTGGGATCATGACCAGAGCGGAAGGCAGAGGCTTAACCCACTGAGTCACCCAGGCGCCCCTGTTTTATCAGATCTTTAACACCCCTAATCCTACTTAGGCATGTGCTTTAAAAGGTTTTAACAAACTTCCCCAAGATTTAAATCTTTTTTTTTTTTAAGATTTTATTTATTTATTTGTCAGAGAGAGAGAGGAAGAGAGCGAGCACAGGCAGACAGAATGGCAGGCAGAGGCAGAGGGAGAAGCAGGTTCCCTGACGAGCAAGGAGCCCGACGTGGGACTCGATCCCAGGACGCTGGGATCATGACCTGAGCCGAAGGCAGCTGCTTAACCAACTGAGCCACCCAGGCATCCCCCCAAGATTTAAATCTTGAACAAAGTCTTGATTCTCTTGTAAAATGAGTTTTATCTTCAAGGAGATTCATATAAAGGACTTTCAGGACAAATACAGGTATTCAATATATTAAACTAAAATGGGTAAGAATTTCCAGAACTAACTAAAGCTGCATTCAAACTAAACCAGAGGGGCGCCTGGGTGGCTCAGTGGGTTAAAGCCTCTGCCTTCAGCTCGGGTCATGATCCCAGGGTCCTGGGATTGAGCCCCACATCGGGCTCTCTGCTCGGCAGGAAGCCTGCTTCCTCCTCTCTCTCTGTCTGCCTCTCTGCCTACTTGTGATCTCTGTCTTTCAAATAAATAAATAAAATCTTAAAAAAAAAAAAAACTAAACCAGAATTATTAGCATGGGACTAAATGAACTAAAAGATTATAGTGTTATGTCTCTCATTTTAGACATTGCTGGTTCTCTAATGTTTGCTCTTCCAGACTAAGAAAACTTTTTCTTAAGATGTCTGGGACTTACAGAGATGTAAAAATATTCATTTGTAGACAAATCAAAGCATTCAACTTTTCTCTCTATCTAAACCCTCTAAAACTCAAAAGGTCTCTGTAAGTATTCTTTCCTCCATGGCAATCAGTCATTTGCATAAGTTCAATAAGAATCTGTTCTCCTTGTAACAGGACACCATTGGAAACATGGGTTATTTTACCAAGGCTTTGACAGGAATGTCAAATTTGAGAGAGATATGCATAGACTCAGATATGACCAGACAGCTTTAAGGAACTAAGGTTGACTTTATGAAACCTGGAGCCATAAAGCCCATTGGAACTGTTGGCCTGATACCGTGCTTACAGAGTTCCCAGCAGCCTCACCAGGTGAGTAAAGAATGTCACTTCCTGGCAGATGCAAAAACCTCAGGATACTTTGGGGACCTCAGGAAGAGGAATTCGCCCAAATTGGCAGGTAC